TTTTAACATTTTCGTTCCTTAATTTCTGAGCGTTTCAAATATCGCTCCATCTTTGGTGGGGGGTTTTGATGTGTCGCCTGTTGACGACTTATTTTCCTCCTAATCGGCTAGGAATGGGTCGGGAATTATATTTAATTACTTCTAAATTTGGCCCGCCTTTAGAGACATCATAAATAAAACCGTTGGGGAAGTGGTCTTGACAAACCTAACTGCAAATTAGGAGTAGTTTTTATAGAGAAAAAATGAAGATAGCTATAGGCTAAAAATTCCGAACATTCAAAGATTCTTGCTTTTGAAACAAAGTTAAAATTTGTATTCTGTTTGAGGAACAGAGCGGGATTTTTTTACCAAAAAAAATTTTTGGCGACTTGGCAAATTCGGGAAGCATCAAAAATGTGGCAAAATGCTTCCCTCTCCAAGTGAAAAAACTTCTCTTTTGAAGGACGCGCCCTTTCCCTCACAAAAAATTACTTCCCGGATGCAAAATGATACGTTTTTTGCAACTGGATCAGGTCCACCACTGTACGGTCTCTCTTTATTTTCCATTGTCTCTCGTCTTCAAAAATCGTGGAGCATTTTGTACAGCAAACCTTGAGATTTTCAGTATTTAATTTGTAACCTCTCTGGATCACAAAATACGAAATTTGATGACAATATAAAACTTACCCTTTGAGAATCTCTGCCCCCATTCAAAAACGACCAAAAGCTTAACGAGTTAAAAAACCCCTCCCTCATTTCGAAATTCCTCATTTTTAGCTTGTCGTCTAAATTTTGATGACCTTTCTTGTAACGCAAATACGTGCCAAGGTCACTGCACTCTTGGACAAGTCGTAATCCATCTGTCATTACTTTATTCTCATTCTGACGAGAAGATTATATTCCTGGTCCAAATGTCAAGCGAGGACAAAAAACTTTGGGTCCATTCCAATTTTGCGCCTATTTCGGGGGATATCAGGTGGAAAGGGGACAAAGTACAACAGCGTGTATTTGGAAGTGACATTTGCGAGATTGCAGGGTAAATTTTTGATGATTTGGAGATTGCAATGAATCTATAACAGGATAAAAAACTTTGTCGCAAAAAAATGGAGCCCTTGTATTCTATTCACCACAAATTTTCATGACTCAAGTCTTATTACTTTTCCGGCAGACATGACAAAAAATTTGAAGACTACAAGAGCATTGTAATCATGGAAAAAAGTACTTAATTAATTTGGTACATTTACGTTTTGTTTCCGTTATATTATTGTCTTCAGTTTCCCGCCGTGACGTCGCCCACTAAGCCGCCTTGCATAGACATTCTTTATCCGCTGTAGTCCAATGTACTTCGGAAATACGATGGGCTTAATGAAAGGGTTAGGATGATAGGGTTAGTCATGGCGATATTTCGGGAACGGGGATTGTCTCGAGGTATGTATTACTGTGGGATTTACATAGACATGTCAATAAGAGGTTGAATGCCTTGAAAATCGAAGTTTTATTTCATTTCACAAATGGAAATTTCTGTAAGGGATGCGAAATGAATTTTGAGGGAATTGGATGCAAAATTAACAACTAAACGCACATATGTTATATAATGGTACCTTGCAACTGTCTACAAGAGAAAATGGGCCACAGGCTAAACTAGTAGACGTGGCGTCGCAACCACTTTGAAATAGGGACCAAATTGAGACCTAAAGTTTAGATTCTTCGACAATTTTGCTTTATTGATTAGAAAGCGCTTTCAAAAAGTATCAAAAATTCCAAAACTCAAGGTCATTTTTATGAGAAGTGTTCGAAATGCGACACTCGGATTTTTTCTCATTTTTGCACATGCGTTCGGCGGGCAACCATTTGCAGCCGTCATTTACCGGTTAGAATTACAATTTTTCTACCGTAATCTACGTAGCATGATAGAAATTTTGCATTGACAACTTCCTGGTGATGATAAATACAACAATTTATCGAATCCATCCACCGCTTCCAAAGTTATGAGATTTTGTCTTCAAAAAAATAGTTTCTGAACCTTTAAAAATACCCGGTTAACCTCATGGCAACTAATCAAGCCACTGATACACCCATAAAATTAACTTGCAGCATCTAACCACCAAGTCTATTGTTACAATTTCCTGTTGTAAGCAAATATTAGCTGATTTCCAAGCATCCCCGCAGAATTTCCGTGGTTCTCACAGCTGTTCGCAAAGTGGTTGTCCACAAGTTTGAGCCCACCGTAGACCTAAAAATGCTTCTCTTTGCCATTTTCCACACTCTTCCGTCTTCAAACATTGTTAAATACCTCATGCAAAGCATTGGCCAAACTTATCCACACTTTGTACTGTATATGTGCTCTGTGCGGTCGATGCGTGCAAGATCCGAAGCAAATCCGAGCGTCGCTGGTCAGGTTACTCCCTACAAACCTTTTTAACCCCCGTTGGTCCTACAAATCCTAATCTATATCCGCCTAATCTCATTTCCAAACGTTCGGTTGCGTCGGCCCGATTAAAACTGGTACCATTTACAGCCCCGTAGCTTCTAATCTTTCGCTCTTCTGAACTTGATACATCCTGTATGTAATTCCGGAGATTTTGTCCATTCCCGGAAGTGATGACGTCATGTTTCATTCTAGAATCACTCAATTAGTCCGAGATAGGCCGGCCGGTTTGTAAGACTTATCATAAATTGACGTCTTTATCCACCCCGAATAATGGTCATTCCCTCGGGCCACGTAGAAGGGGCGGGGCTTTCTTTTCGAATATTTTTACATTAGTTTATATATCTCTGTACCAGGGGGTTGGATTGTTTAATCGTGGCTAAAGATTGGCTAAAGATTGTTCCCGAGGCCAGTAAACCCTTAGTTTTATGTTAAAAACTATTAAAATTGGGCGCATAGTAGACAGTTCCTTTATTATTCACACTTTTCTCACATCATAGTTTTAATATTCAAGTTGATTTGCCGAACTTGCCGTATGTTTCCGTATGTTTACCGATTTAGGCACTTTTCTGAACCCGTTCCGCGAACGACTAAAAAATACGTTGCCAATGAGGTCACCGCGTTTACACCTGCACATAACGACATAACAAAGTTTTTTTGGGAGTGAGTTTATGGCGCGCTGTTACACCCACAAAACCGGGTGTATAAATGGAAGAACAAAGAGTGAGCTGGAGCAGTTCCAGAGGTTTAGAATGAGGGAGATTTGGAGGGTATAGAAGATCAGTTAGAGTTCAGTGGATCACCAATAAAATGGGAGTGAAAAAGCAATGTTAAAATCATTGGCATAGTTTTTGATAGTTTACTGTGCGGATGTAGAGAAATATATCTTTATTTTTAGCTTGAACGTTGCTGTAGATTTAGATTTTTAGCCTAAAAGACGCCGAAAAGTCTCAAAAAATATCATGTCTCCCACATAGACCGTATGTGTCTGAAAAAACATTTCTTTCTCTGGCTCTCTCTCATCATTTTACGTAGTATCTCATCTACAAAGAATTGAATATTTCGGCTGCACTTGCAAAGCGTTAAATAAAATTTTATGCCGCTTGTTTGTCGCAGTTTTTGGCCGTTTTGATATATCATCCTCATGATTTTTGTGGCTCTTCTCTACAGACTTTTTTGTATCATTTGTCATAATTTTACTATGTATGAAATTATTGCTACATAATTTTTTTGTACTTCCTTCCGTCTTTGAAACTCTGACGATGCAGTTTTTTGAGTCATGCATTAGTCATACTTTTTTTACATTCAAATTTATTAACTTACAATTCATTAGTCATCGTCATCTTATGCTGCTATACAACTTTCCACCATCGCTTTATTTTGTGGTTTTTTGCTCGCCCTCCCCCGCACTAGCGCGGTACGATTATTCAAGTAAACACTTACGGGTTAACATGTCAGTGAGGCGCTGTTTACATCCCGAACGTGTGACGCTTTTATTTGACGTAAAGTGGGGGTCCTCCTTTATTTAGGTGTAAAGTTAATCTATATTTAAGTGGTAGGCTGAGTTGAAGGGTGGCCAAGGAGTTGGCTGAGGACATTTAGGGTCGTCGGAAGGAAGTTTTCAATAGGAAAAGTCAAAACTTGGACCTTTATTGTACGTATATATGTAGTATTGTTGTAGTAATGGTCTCAAAAGTGTATTTATTGGTTGACAATTGAGATATTTGTAGGTGATATGTTTTGATGTCTCATGTATTTTTGGTTGAAATTTTACTTTTTCCTTCAAAATGGTGATTGTTATGCAGAGGAGACATTTTATACGATGAAACATGTTTGATCGTATAAGACAACATACACTTTGCTAATTGTAAAAAACTTACTGTAAGTTATTTTTACAGCCATAGCCTTTGTCTACGTATTTTTTTAAACAGAATTCGAGCTGTTTTTTATGATTTTTTTTATTTATTTTTTTTTGATTTATTTTCTGCCAAGTCAGAAGTCCGCTTTTTACGGTAAAAAATCGCTCTCCAAGCCTCTACAAATATTCATTTTACAGTAAAACCCCTCCTTCTACAATTTTCTTCCCACGTCTTGCTCAATTTTAAATTCAATTTGACCTACTTTTCCAATTTTCTAATTTTATTACATCAAAGTACGGGTAATGTTCCAGAAATTTCAAAATGATCTGAAACGTATGAGTAATTTCCCGATGAAGTATACTCTTCTGGTACCCACGTCATACAATTATCTTTACTCAAATTTAAAGGGGGATTAGCCTTTTACATACTAAATACCATTTTACGGACATTTGGGGATGATACGGGTAATTCCTTACGGGTTATATGTCGTTTTTTTGGGGTTGAAATTTAAATGAAATTTTTTTGCTATGGTAAAAAAAGTTGAAGATGTATAATTTTGGGTGTAAAGCCATCTTTAAAAACTTTTTTTTGGCTTTTTTCCCCTTGCTAGTCATCTAGTATAACATCAAAAAATCTCGGTTTCCCGCAATTTTCGGCTTTATTATTTCGCGATTTTGCTTTGCAATCACTTCTCATTTAATTCTCCACAATTCCAGGGCAGAAAAACAGAAAAAATGTTAAAAATTCTAGTAGCGGCGACCACATTATTGGCGGTCTTGGACGGATCAAACGCGGCCCCAGCCCTTCCAGAACCCCTCAGGGTAATGGAATTGGACCTGAAAAATGAGGACGAAGCCCGACCAGACATTCAGGTATGTTTATTGCTAAACGCTGACCAATTTTTTTTTGATACTTTTTGAAGGTTTTTGCACAATTTTTAATTAAAAATCACAAAATTTTTTCTTGAAATCAAAATTTTTCAAGTTTTTCAATGCCATAGAACTTTATTTTGTACGATTCAAAATAATTTTTTATTTTTTCAAATTTTTATTTTTCGTATTTTAGCCCTACTACATGCCGGAACTAGACGACGTTGCGAATCTCTTAGCACGATTGGACCAAATCAACCAGGAGACCGATTCAGGGCTAAAGCGAAAACGAGATTTCCGATTTTACGGCTCGAGGGGAAAGAAATCAGTGCGCGAAACGAGGAGGTAAGCCTAGTACAATATAAAAATTCAATTTTTAAATGTGAAGGAACTTATAACTCTTAGAAAAATTCATGATATGTTGAAAAGTTGTGTTAAATCAATATTTTAACTAAAAATTCGCATTTTTGCAAAAGTGACATTTTATACGATGAAAGGTGTTTTATGCGGTTTCTGCATAACGCAAGGTGGAAATTTCAAAAAAGCTTTAAAAATTAATTTTTCCAAGTATAAGAAATCCTGATTTCTCATTATTTGGCAAAAGTGACGTTTTATACGACGAAAAGTGTCCATTCTTGTCGCTTTTTGTTTTCGTCATGATCTGTTTTTTGTTAATCTTGATGCGTTAACTCCTAAAAACAATTTCTTTTCGTCGAACTTGTGAATAAATAGTCTAGACTTTAAAAATATTCAAGAACGAGTTGAATATTCAAGCGTATTTACCTCACCTTGTTATTGCGCAATTAGGGACGCGTCGGAAAAGGCGTCAGACTTCCTGCTTACTCATAAAGTCCTCTTCCAAAGTCGTCGTTAAAGTGTGTAAATTATGACACAACTAAAAAATTTTTTTGTCACTACTTTTTTTAAAGCCCTCAAAATTACAGTATCCCTTGTTTAATATCAAGTATAATATCGTTTCCCTTCCAGATTCAACTACATGCCGTCCCGAGGCTAGACCACCTCCCGCTCCGCTCGCTGACGCGCCCTTCAACCAGACTGACTGGATCGCCTCTCATTTCGATCTCTCGCTACTTTTACAGTACATTATGTAAAGTTGTTAGTCCATAAAAGGTTTTTCTGTACGTTTCGTGTCTTTATTTTTTCTTCGAATGATATCAGTTTTGTATAAAGCACAGCTAATAAAATATTTTTCGTTATCGAAGAGGGATTACAGAGAGCATACGAGGAAAGGAGAATCGAAAAGCAAAGATATTATTTTTAGCGTAGTAGGGTGACCTGTGTAAAAGAATTGAATAAAAAAATGGGCTTTGAACAAGATGTAAATTCAAGTGAAGCTTAGTTAAGAATGTTCAGCATGATTCTTTTATTTCACGACTGACAAGGTAAAGTTTCCAAGTGCGACGCTCACAAGGGAAGTCACATTTTTCGGAGATAAATCCTTACTGGTGATCTAGTTTTTTGTGAACTTTTATGAGCCATAGCTCTACCCACAGGGTCCGAAAACACTCTTGGACACCAGGTTCTTCTTACACCGCCTGCGGCCTTCAACATCCACTAAGTCACCTGTAAGGATCGATCTGCAAAAATTTGACTTCCCTTGCCAGATTTCTCTTAAATTTTGAACACACATCAGGTATAGGCCATATATCAATTCCTGAAGGTTTTAGCCTGCGCTATGTAGGCGCCAAAGAGACATTGAACGATCTTCGCTGCCGAGAGAGTACGAAAAATGCGGAGAGCCGTCAGAAAAAAAAGTTTTTGGTCATATTTCTGTTAAGTTCGCCTGGAAAAAAATGATTTTTTTGTGAAAACATTACCCTCTACAGTAGAAAATAGGTATGAAATTTAAATCCATAAAAAGCTGTAAATTTTTTGCAAAATTTCGACATAAAAATCTCGGTCGTTTCTGCACAACGAGAGCTAGGAGTCTCACATATAGCTTAGAGAAAATTACTTTAAATTTGTGCCAAATGTCATCAAAATCCGACCGTTGGAGTACTTCCTCCTTATTCCCTGTAATCATTTTTTTCTTCTACGTATAATTAATTTTTTATTGATCCCGACTTAACAGCTTTATCCTCATCATCCAAACAAGTTTTTTTACCTTCTCCCTTCCGTCCCATATCCCCCATAAATTCGACGTAAATTTCCAAAAATATCCCAAACCTAGGCCCACTTTTCTCCCTTTTTTGAGTGACATTTGGCCTACGCAATTTTATTGAAACGGCCGCAATGAATGGCCAAACTCGCGGTCCCCGAAGCTTCGCATCTCTAATTACTGTAATTCCGGATGCGTTCCTCCGAACGTACGACGAGAATGCATGAATTATGAAGGGCTTCTGAGGGGTTTCTGCTGAAAACGGCTGGGAAATCGGGGAATCATCAAGTTCGTTATATCAAAATGACGGGTATAATATAATTTTGGGCGAGGAAACAAAGACATTAAAAATTTTAAAAATTTAAATTTTTTAATGGCCTGTTGGAAATGTAAAATAAAAAATTTTCTTATGAAATTTTTTGGTATTGTAAAAAAAATTAATTTTTTTATGTTAAAATATAGATACATTACATGCCATTTCAGCATGCCCATATTCTTTCATCGTTCCTCAAAATTTGAACTTTAAATTTGCAACAGCTTCCGGGCCCTCTTCCATTCTTTAAAAATACCATCACCTACACTTCTATTTTTACAAAATTGTCATAAACATTGCCTGTCACCCTCAGGCATGTTTTTATTAGTGCTCTTCCAAAAATGGGAACAATGCAAAATTTTGACAGTAAAATGAAAAAGGCTAGTTTTTTAGCAAAGTTTAAATTTTTTGCAATTTTTTTTTCAATTTTCAAAGCAAAATCTCCAAATTTTTACAATTTTTTACAGTTTAAATAATGGACTCACTAATTACACCTAAAAATAATCCCCTTACATCTGCATCTGTTTCAGAAGTCCTGCTAATCACATTTTCATTATTTATTCGCAGATTATCCCGCTGTAATTTATGGAAATCCCCTTTCGACGCGGCCCTAAGATTAGGCCCCTAACATTTTCCGCCCAATTAAATGGCATTTTGTGGAAGAATTTTGGAATTTCATCTGCAAATGAAACGGAAATAATGTGCGGAAATTTTTTAAAAAGCAACTTGTTGACAGCAATCATCGAGAGACCATGGATGAATTGAAAGAGTGAGGGTGAGTGGCCTCCGGGAAATCGTTGACCATCTTTGGAGATGAAGGATGGGGAAATAATGGAAATGAAATTTTTTTTGCAAAGAAAATATAGCCTAAATATAACTGTCACGGGTCTATTTACATTTCTTAATAAGTTATTACAAGAACGGGGCAGGTTGGTCAAGTCTTTCCCTGATGTGTCAAGTTTTTCCCTAATGTGTCAAGTTTTTCTCTCAGTGCTTGCAGTGCAATTGAAAAGAAAATATGCTCTAAATAGAATTGTCACGGGTCTATTTACATTTCTTAATAAGTTATTACAAGAACGGGGCAGGTTGGTCAAGTCTTTCCCTGATGTGTCAAGTTTTGCCCTCCGTCCCTGCTATGCAATTGCAAAGAAAAAATAGTCTAAATATAACTGTCACGGGTGTATTTACATTCCCTAATAAGGTATTATAAGTACGGGGCAGGTTGGTCAAGTCTTTCCCTGATGTGTCAAGTTTTTCCCTCTGCCCCTGGAGTGCATGGGACAAGCAGAATTTGATGGATTTCGGCTCAAATTTACATCACAATTTTCTAAGAAATATGCGGGACTCTTAACTGACAGTATTCAAAAACACACCGAGATTTTGTCATGGGAATTTGAAAAAAAATGATTTTTTTGGCTCACCAATTTTACACTCGTTTACATACCATTAAACGGAATAGTGTTTCCTCGGAAAACCCAAGTCATCCGTGCAGAAATAAAACGGGTATGGGCGGTAATACCCGGTAGTACCCGTGTCATTTCGGGTCGACTCTGAATTACTCTTCTCTATCGTCAACAACAATCGTTGATTGTCTCGGCAGCGCCTTTCAAGAGCAGGTCATGTTAAGAAACGTTCGAAAAAAAATTCCCATCAATAAAAGTCTTGAAAAGACACAAGAATAATCGGAATTATGCGTATTTAATTTGGTGAGAAAAGAAAAAATGTCGGTCGATAATTCTTGTGGAGATTCAATTTAGAGTTTATTGAAGGGAAACATTTTTTGACGTCTTGTCCAGAATTTTCAACAATCGCCTTCTGGCACGGCAAAATTCAGGAAAAAAGAATCTTTTTTGGCCTTCTCTCTTCATCTTCCACAGTGTCTCGAGTACAAAAAACGGTTACATAAAAACGGCTCCATATTCCGGATCGATCAAAAGTAATCTTTGAAATTCCTATGTAACATAGAAAAAGAACAGACGAATCATTTCTAAAAGCAACCAGCATGGAAATTGCCAAGAACGTAAGATTTATAACTAACTTTAAAGCTTGCCTTGTCTCAAAAACTCGGTCGTAAAACGGACAAATCGGAGTACTATAGTAACACATTTTTCCACATCTCAAAGAAATTTTAATCACTTTCTAAAACGACTTTTATCACATCAACCATTACATCCCATAGTATAATAACAAATCAGTAAATATCTTCCCATCTTTTGTCCTTCAAATCCCCCACCAAATCTGTGGTCAATAATCCCTCCGTTTCCACCGTATCACCGCCCACTTTTCCACGTTCCAGTTTCGAACTCTGACGTTTTGAACGTATCAAAACGTAACGCGGACCATGCATCATGAGCTCCGCTTAAAAATGTATCTTTGTAGTCCGATCTGTACGAACTTCCCGTAGAAGTGACATGCATATGAGAGTGGAGAGGTCTGGAGGTGTTCGGAGGAGATGACACTTTTTGGGGGGAAAATAATGTTTTATTGATGACATAGAGGGAAGAATGAAACAACAAGTACTGTAGCAATGGTGCACCAAAATGAAAAAAGTCAAAGGGTTTTGACTATTGTATTTTTTGGCATACGATTTATATAAAAACTTCTTATATGATGAGTACCTCAACGCTTGGCCAGAAGATCATCATGGGCTTAAAAATAACCCTTGCAAGTTCAAGCTCGCGTTTTACGGATACAACCGGAGGACTGAAGGATCTTTGCTTTGAGAAAGAAAGAAAATGGAGTAGGTTGTCAAAGAAAAACGTAGATTGTTTGGCCGATCCTGCTCTAACTTATCGCATAGATTCTGTGGAATCGGTCACAGAAAAATACGTTGGTTGAAAATGATGTTTGAAAGCAATATCAAGAATTTTATATAGAGATAAAGGCCTTGCAAGCTCGTATTCAGTTCTTCCAATAAAAAAAATTCCATTTCACACAATGTTTGGTAGATGAACTCTGGCAATCACTGGAAATAATGTCAAAGATTTACAAAACAAAAACAGATCTGCATGCAACTCATAGCCCTTCTAAATACGACAAAAAAAAATTGGTTTCTAAACGTTATTCAATCTCAAAAACCTTCTTCTTTGTTAAAAAAGCAACGTTTTATATTTTCCAAAAAGAACACTACAGAAACTAAGGTTATCAGACCATTGATTGATCGTTTTATGAGAGCCACAAGGTTCACCAACTCCCCGCGATGACCTTTCTGATAGGAAACGCAAAGGAATCGCCAACCAATTTCCTTAGCAAGGGACCCCCGACTAATTGGGAAAACGTGGTCTCTATTTAGCGGCAAATTCTTACGCTAACTTTGTTTTTTGTATTTTACCAAAGCTAAGTTTCAACAAGATAGTCATGGTTGATGTGCAGGCAAAATTGACCGAACTGGATGCAATTTTACCAAAGATTTTGGAGGATGAGGTAGGTTGAACAACAATTATAATATTTTACTGAAAAAAGAGGGGGTTCTCAGATTTTTTTTGAGGAAATTGTAAAATACGATTTGGAAACGATATTCTTGGACTTTAAAAATATATTTATACCTTGCGTCTGCAATGCTGAGACTTTCTGAAAAAAATCATCAACTTATACCTCTGACATGCGTATAAGATTTTTCAAAAATTCAGGTAGTTACTTGCAGGAGTATCACCCATATTTATGCTCATCTTTTTTGCTGAAAAACATACTTTTACATTTTTTTAAATTTAGCAACCTGTAAAAACGCAGTAGACAAATTGCCTCGAGCAATTTTGTCTTATTATCTCCCCGTTGTTGTTTACACTGTAAAAGAAAAGTATCGTTAATTTTTGCAAATTCCAGGATTATTTATACTATGTATATGTGCAGACATGCCAAGACTTATATTTCTATTCATTCTTTTCCAAATTTAATTTTTTTTTATTTTTGCAAAATTTCCCCCCGCAATTCCCGGAAAACAGCTGAAAAAAACGCCGAAATGAGGAGATGCCCATGTGTGTTATCTGTCATCGTACAGACATTTGAAAGCGTTCTCTGACATGAATATTCATTAACTGGAACAGACCAAAAGATCATTTTGAAAAAATGGGCTTGCAAAAAGTGGAAAAAAAGCGAAATGATGGGATCGGGTTCTTCGGCCGTTGAAGAGGGACAGTCGAATTTGACAGAGTCCAAAGCAAAGGTCACAAATTTATTGCATAAAATAAAGGAGTATATACAGTAAAACTTGCAGAAAATAGAATGAAAACAATATTTGTTGGCCCTAGAAGAGCTTACAATAGTAAATAGTACAGGGTGGGGCATCTTTGTGGCCCGATTTGAATTGGCTATAACTTCTTTAGTTTTTGGCCAAATTCTAAAATTCTTTTTTTCCCTGAATCGTCAGCCAACCCCATTTTGTTTGATACCAAATATGTTATACATAGTAAGTGTATATCTACAGTTATTGGATTTATTCTCGGAGTTCATTTTTTCGGTCGTTTTTCGGTTATTTTTTCGGTCTTTCCCGGTGTGTCCGGAAATGGAGTACGATGCGGAAGAAAAATACGGTGGAATTTCCCCTCCCGAAAATCGACGATGAAAATAAGAACAAAAAGTGAAGATCAACCTCCAGAGTTCGTCGAATGGTCCTTGCTGAAGGCATTCCCTCGGTTCTGGCCAAGCTTCGTGTACTGATATGCGGGGTTTTTCGGATTTTGACAAAACTTCTTAAATTTTCAGCTCCGTTCGAACTCATGTTTCCTGCTTTTTTTGTTTCCTGTTAACGCTGCCAGTCTCAAGGAACTTATACCACGAACGTCGAATTGTCTTGCAATCTGGAGGTTAGGCATTACGTCCGTATTTCATGCGGTATCCCCGTTTGAAAATTTATTGCCGAACCGTACTTGCTATACGAAACCACAGACCAAGCTTTTTCTTCCGCACCGGACTCCATTTTCGGACACACCGGGAAAGACCGAAAAAACAACCGAAAAACGACCAAAAAAATGAACTCCAAGAATAAATCCAATAACTGTTGATGACACTTACCTATGTATAACGCATTTGGTATCAAACAAAATGGGGTTGGCTGACGATTCAGGTAAAAAAAGAATTTTAAAATTTGGCCAAAAACTAAAGAAGTTATAGCCAATTCAAATCGGGCCACAAAGATGCCCCACCCTGTACATACAAGTCATAATTATAACCGCAATAAAAAAATGGCTGTAACTTTTTTGATTGTAAATAAAAATGCGTTGTATTTGGCACTAATATGCATCATCGTACTAGAAATAATGTGCCGAAATTTTTTTTTGAAAAGTTTCCGTATTTTAGAAAAAAAACTGCAAAATTTTAAACAGCGTTTTCTCAGCGTATGAGAAATTGACATGGGAAAAAAGCCTGAAGAAAAATGCATAGATCTTTGTTGAATTTGAATGCCTCGTTTTCAGCACGACCGTCAAGTCTTTCGCCAATACTACGAGCAATTTTTGAGTGTCAAATCTACTGTTGATTGGTCGCAATTGAAGATCTTTGACAAAGAGAAATATCAAGTTGAGTATGAATCTCTTCCGGAATTCGATAAGAAGTCAGCACAGGACATTCTGAAGCGAGTGGCAGTTATAAAGCTGAACGGAGGGTTGGGAACGACGATGGGATGTGCTGGACCTAAGTCGCTGATCAAGATACGAGATGGACTGACTTTTTTGGAGTTCGCAATACGGCAGAATGAAGTAAGAAGGGTTTTTTGAGGCAACTTGACTTACTGTGACCGGCAAAAAATATGGAATATCTAATATAAGAGGAGCCCTATTATCAGTCTGTCGGGAAAGTAATGAGCAAAATGATGCTGCGCAAATTGCGTCGCTGAAAAGCAATTTGATTTTTCCGCGACACTATTAGTTTTATCGGCGGCGACGTGACTTTCAATGCGACATCGTGCTCACTATTTTGCTGACAGATTGATAGCCGTGAATAAGAAAAACAAAGACTAAAAGATTGGTTCATTGAAGGTTTAAGCGAGCGATTACAAAGCATCCTTTAAGATCTCATAACAGCTTTCCTTCGACCCATTTTTGACCTTTTTGGCAACAAGATCCCTTCTACAGTGAGGGACCTTTTCCAGCGGCCAAAACCGTACCATTTTGCATCCGAGAAGCATCAAAAATATGGCAAAATGCCTCCCTCTCCAAGTAAAAAACTTTGTTTTGAAGGGTTCACAAAAAAGCGGGCGCGCTTTTGAAATCGGATTTTTTCACCTGGAAAGGGAGGTATTTTGCCACATTTTGATACTTCCCGGGTGCAAAATGGTACCTTTTTTGCCACTGGATCAGGTCCCCCACTGTGTCATCTTTATTTCAGCTCTTGAACGCCCATTATGAATCCAATGTGCCATTGATCTTGATGAACTCCTATCGGACTGAAGCTGAGACCAAGACCTGGCTTACAGAGCATAATCTTCAAGACAAAGTGGAGATGTTCAACCAATCCAGATGCCCACGAATCTTTGCTGATTCTCTTCTACCGGTACCAAGCTCTCCGAGTGACCGAGAGGATGATGGGTAAGGCTTATGCAGTTTACTATTATGCTGTTCGGAAATCATAAGCGCTTTATCTGGGCTGCAGAGTAGATTATTTTGACATTTTTAGTTGGTACCCTCCCGGTCACGGCAACGTCTTTGCCGCTCTAAATAACACTGGTTGGCTGGACCGGCTCCTCTCCGAAGGTCGTGATATCATCTTTGTTTCCAATATTGACAACACCGCAGCTACTGTGGATGTTAAAATCTCCAGTGTTATTGCCAGGGAAGATGTTGAGTACGTCATGGAGAACACAAATAAAACTCAGCAGGACATCAAGGGCGGCACTTTGATTGAGTATGAAGGGACTATCAAGCATTTGGAATTACCGCATGTTCCACATGATAAAGTGGATGAGTTCTGCTCTCTCAAGACTTTTAAGTAAGTGGCCATCTATTGCATTATTATAAACAAGAGGGTTGATGGAGATATTGATGGCATATTGGGCAGAAATTTGCGTTAAGTTCTCTATGGGATATCCGAAATTTTTGGCTTGGAATTTTCGATTTTTTTGTTGTAAATTGATAAAAATTCAGCGGAATTTTGCGAATAGAAGGAAATCCATTCCTTATGTGATGAGCAACAGCTCTACAAAAATTTGTGTTTTTCTGGTCAACATTTGCAAAGATATGGCCAAAAACACCTTTTGGACCCTCCTTATTTCCCATAGTGTCTCGTCCAGAAACAGCGTTGCATATCTCGGCTGTACTTGCAAAGCTGGAACCAAACTTTTTTGCAATTGATACACGCTATTCACAGATTATCTATGCAAAATTTTAAGAAGATCTGAGACATGCTCCTTGAGATATTCCCGTGGTTTTACACAACTTTCAATCCATTTTCTAGAGTTTTGAAGTCCCCAAAATAATTTCCTTTCCTCTGACGTCAAATGCGGTATAATAATAGTAAAAAGTCTTTATGATTTTTTTGTCTGCATCTGTTTTGCACCTTGACGATCAATTAAACACCCATCTTCCAGAACCTTCAATACCAACAACATCTGGGTGGATCTGAAGGCCGTGAAGAGAATGCTGGCCAGCATGAGGCTGGAGGTGCTCCCCAATCGAAAGGTCAGTGATTTGTATTGCTAATGAAGCCGGGTTTATTAAAAAGAGCGTCGGTTGGGAGATACGGTGAGATAGGTTGAATTATTTGCATTTTTTTCTGTGTGGTGCATGAAAAACTGAAGAAAAACGTAATCTTTGAGGTGGAGGAAAAATCCAGAGATTAAGTGATAAATTCCGATCAGAAACATTTTTTACTTTTGACGGGTCTCAGCTCCAGAAAAATATACATTTTAGGCAAATCGGCGGAGTCTCCGCGAAGAAATCATAAGAAAAAAGTTATTAGTTTCGAGTGGCCCACCCTGTAGAATCCTTTCCCTCACAGACTGTGGCACCACTTTAGGGACAAACGGCGTTTGCCTTCCTAATTAATTTACCCCTTAACTATATCACATCTCTTCAAATTTTTTGGCCCTTCAAATTTGGAAAGACAATAGAAAGAGATTGTTATTCCAGACGGGTCAATTGAATTCAAATTGCTTACTCAAAACTTTCGTTGAAAGCATTGCCAATTTAGGAAACGGAAAAAACGCCCAGAACTTGAACGGTTGGTATGATATGTCTATGCTTCCTTCATAATTTTGTTATTTCATGGACAAAAATGAATGTCGTTTAAAAATACTAATTCCAAAAACAAAGTCTGTGCGCCGCCTCCGCCGGAGGTTATAGCCTCCGATTTTCTTCCACGTTTCTTGAAAGACCCTGTATTTATGATCAAAAAACCTAAAAAGATCGTTGTCTTTGCTGTCGCTGAGATGATGCATAATGTAGAATGCATGTGCAAAAAATGAAGGAAAATCCGAGTGTCGCATTTTGAACACTTCTCATGCAAAAATCGCCTTGAAATTTTGAATTTTTGATAGCTCAGGAAACCATTTTCTAATTAGTAAAGCAAATTTTTGAAGGATCTAAACTTTAGGGCTTAATTTTGAAGTCATTTCTTGTCCGTTCCCAGAGTTTTGCTATTTTAAACGTATTCAATTTACTTATTTATGTACATTTCTTGCAACTATTTACTATTAGAATGTATACACATTCTAAATACACTTTTTCATAACAAAAATTATTCAAAACTTATTTTCAGCAGCTCTCAACAGGTGAAGCGTGCATCCAACTGGAGAGTGCGATCGGTGGGGCCATTCGGAACTTTCAGCTGGCCAAGGTGGTCCACGTCCCGCGACGCCGCTTCTTGCCGGTGAAAAAGACCCAAGACCTGCTGGTCATCATGAGCAACGCATTTGTCGTGGACGAAAACGGAGTTTTAGTCTTGAATCCCCTCAGGCAAATCAAGTCAGCGCCTGTGGTCCATTTATCGCAACAGTTTGATTTTATCGACCAATTTTTCGAGCGTTTTGAGGGAATCCCCGATTTATTGGAATGTGAGACACTAAAAGTTGAGGGGGACATTCGATTTGGAAAAAATATTAAAATCAAGGGGAACACTCAAATTTTGGCAAAAAATGGGGGCAAAATTGAGGATGGAAAAGTTTTAGAGGGCAAAATTGAATTTTGAGGCTTTAAAAAATAGTTTTTTATTTATTACTATTATTTTAAAAGTATTTTTAATAATTTTTTCGGAATAAAAAATTTTATTTTTCAAATTTCCCTCTGATTTTTTTAATTTGTCACCATCGTCACTTGTTTACCATATTTTTAATTTTGTTTTAAAATGCCAGCGGGTCCAAATGAAACAAAAAGTAAGACGATTACTTCGATAATTAGGTTTCCATCTTCAGCCAAACAAGCCGCAAGACCCTTTTCACAGCCATTAATTAGGCTGTAAGGCCAGACCGGAAATAAAGAGCCGATCGGGATGGACTGGAGGGTACTGTAATTTTTGTTAGGGAAGAGGTGTTGCGTTTTTCTTGGCCTACAAGTATCGCTGAATATCCTGACAAATAAAATTCAATTTTTTTGCAATTGAAATGCTGTTCATGCTCTGTTTTTATGGCCATCAAAAAGGTGGAAAATGTGTCCACGTTTTGTCAAATTTACATAATGTCAGCCAATTACGTGTTGAAAGCTGACAAGGGTTTCAAATGCGACCCTCAGATTGTCTTAAAAATTTCTACACATTTTGGGCATAGGCCATGTGTAGATTTCTAAAATTTTTAGCTCGCGCTTTGCAGGCAAAGCCGCGATATAAACTTTTTGATTATCATTTTGCTACTTTCGCGCAGAAAATTTTTATTTTTGTTGGGAACATTACCCTTAAAGTTAGAAATAGGTTTGAAACTTTTCATGAAAAAAATTCACCAAAAAATCATGGCATTTTTGCCAAGTTTCGGACTAAAAAACTTGGTGGTTTCTACAAGGCGCAATCCAGGAGTCTCCCCTATCTTTCAAAAAAAAAGTTAACCTGGGCTTGTATCATATAAAGGTCGTCATATAAGAATTTACAAGGAAAGTACTTTTATGGGGGCTCCTACTTTTTGACGGGGCATACCTCAAAAAAACAGAAAAAATGTGCTGATCAAGGATATATAAATCTTAGCTGCCCATTTTTGGGTTTAAGGGTCGAAAACGCCCAAAAACTGTCTTAATTTCCCTACAAAAGGCGCAGGCATTCGAGACGATAAAAAGGGAAATCGGTCTCTTCCTTCGGAAGAGAGCGGTGTGGCCGAGTGGTTAGTGCCGTAGTCTGGGAATCAAGAGGGGGACGCCGCACGGGTTCGATTTCCCTTTTGGGCTGAATCAACTTTTTTTGAAGTTGAAGACCGGAAAAATAAATTTTTGGGCCAAGACTGATTTATTACGTCTTAGAAACTCAATAAACATCATTTTAAGCCAAAATAAAAATTGTAAACACGTGAAAAATTAGGCGAAAAGGGGTTCATATAGGACTTTAAGTCAACTTCCGATTGAGTTTTCACCCCTAAAAACCTAAAATGGGCAGGTGGGATTTATATATCCTTGATCAGCACATTTTTTCTGATTTTTTGAGATATGTCCGGTCAAAAAGTAGGAGCCCCCATAAAAGTACTTTCCTTGTTAAAATTCTTTTTTCCCAAATCGCGATTTTCGTGCACAAAAAAGTGGACGTCCAAATCGAAAAACTGGCGTCGACTTATTTTTTCCTCGGCACCGAATTCTGAAATCCGGTAAATTTTTCTAAGTTTTTCGAAATCAGTGCACAAAGTCTTAAATCTGCACCGAAGACTTGAGTGCTTAAGTCAGCACCGCATTTCGGAATTAGGTGCTGAAAAAATTAAGTCGTTTTTTTTCGATTTGGGCGTCGACTTTTTTGAGCACTGAAAATCGCGGTTTGAGAAAAAAAAACTTTTAATATTTATATGTATATGAGATTATATGTCATCAAAATCTGAGCACCCCACATGAGGTATTTCCCCTGTAACTTCAGCTGAAAGTTTCGCCGTTATCTTCTTTTCGAAACTCTACGTGATTGTCAAAGTTTCTGCTACAGTACCCTGAAACACTTAACAACCCCTTTATTGCACTTTTACTACATTTCGACAAAGTCCACAACGTTCAAATACTTCCCGTTTTCTTTAATTTTATCCCGTTTTTGTTCTTCCCAAGGCCTTGCATTAATCAAATCATTTCCCTTCAATATGTCCGCCGATCGAATAAAAGCCCAATAAGGCAGATAACTCAATTTCCCTCTTTATGTTATCTACATCGTCTCCTGCAGATATGTAGACGGTAAATTCGTTGACATGGAAATCTAATTTTGCCGGTTATTATTGAAAGACTGGGATGTTTCTGAATAATATATGGTATGACTGGTGGGAAACCGCGGGCGTTCTATAGAATTTTGAGTAAATATCCTTGTATGGGAAGCTGCGCCAGACGGCTCTTTGTGTTTATGTTGCGAGGAATAGAGTTATGTTTTAATAGCTATGTTATGTTATTTTAGTAGCTTTGAGAGTAAAATTAAGGTAAAATACGAACGCAAAAAGCCATGGTTACAAGTACTCTAGAAAACTTTAGTAGAGGCGTTAGCAGTAATTTCATCATTATTTTTCGGCATTTGGCCGCCTTTTCGCCTTTGTGGCCCCATTAATTTTTGCCCCATCAAATGTTGTGCACTCTTGATTCCTGTCAAGAGCCGAATTTTACAATTCAAAAAGAATTTGGAGGTTGTTGGCTTGTGAATTCTAGAGTTAGCAGCAATTACTACAGTGGGGAACTTCAGTGGCAAAAAACCTTTCATTTTGCATCCGGGAAGTATTAAAAATGTGGCAAAATACCTCCCTTTCCAGGTGAAAAAAATCCGATTTCAAAAGCGTGCCCGCTCTTTTTGTGAAGGCGATCCCTCAAAACATAGTTTTTTCTCTTGGAGAGGGAGGCATTTTGCTACATTTTTCAATACTTCCCGGACGAAAAATGGTAAGTTTTTTTGTCCAGTCCGTTAGCAAAGTCGCTCCCCTGTAACTTCAGCAGAATATAGTGATTTAGCAACGTGCACTGTGCAATTTTCTGTTTTTTGCACCGTGCAGTAGGGTTTTTTGGGCTGTCACACTTCGACTTTTTCTGCACAGTGCAAACACCAAAAATTCTCCAGCGATCGGACTAGTATTTTGTAAAACAAAAGTTTACTTTGCACGTTGAAATTTTCAGCTTTTTACACCGTAAAATAGACGTAGTTTTCTTCTCATCATATACTGTCTGTATTACACCGACATATTCAACAGCTCTTCTTGCGAAAGATCATGTGAAATTGGGAAGTTTTCCTGATCAGACACGTTTCTGTAATCACTTTTTTGTTCGAGAAACTTCTAGTGTGTCTACAAAGCCACTGCTAGAATTTTGGGTGACGTGAAATACCCTGAAGAGCACAGCCATTCCGTGTTTTGTAAAAATTTGATAATCAGACCTCTTTTTTTCTTTACATTATTTGGCAATTACAGACTATTCATCTACACCTTCTTTAGCTGGCATCTTCTTTATTGAGGGGGCCAAACATTAAAGGCGTGCAAAGAATTTGTCTTTGAATTCTGGAAACTGTCAAAAAAACGTGATAGACGGTCTTGTTCGCCGTAGGCGACTAGAAAACAAGGTCTTCCTAGAATTGCAAGGTCTTTGTTTTTTCAACATTAAAACTTGTTATAGCGATAGCTAGTGATTGATATTTGCAAGATGGAAAAGATTAATAGCTTAAATTTAGATTTTTCTGCAAAAAATTGTAACGACACGTGTTTACAAGAAGAATTATGATCCATTTTGGTTCACTAGTTTTCAAAACAAAACAAGGAATTTAATTCGTATAATAGATATGGATTATGGTATTATATTGTTATTGAAGCAGTCAATAGAATTTGTAACATGGATTATAGTGCTGCAATTTCAATGCATACGAACCTATTGTTCGTGACCGTTTTTTGCTCTACAGGGAAGTGCTCAGCGACGCGTAGAGTTTAACGAAACATGGATAAATTTAGATTAATTTACAAAAAAAATAAGCAGTCTTTTTAACTCGCGCTTTGCAGAGGAAACCGAGATTTTTAGTGGGTGAACTTCTTTGAAAATTTTGGCATAAAAAGTTTCATACTTATTTCTACCGTAAAGAGCACTTTTTCCTCAAAAAATCATTTTTTCCGCTGTAAATTGGCAAGTACAGGGTGTTTCAAGAAATTTGGAACAAATGGTTTCCTTATATCTTTGCGTTCTTTGCAGCTATCAACGAATTTCTTTTTGCTTCTAAAAATTGACAGCGTGCGTTTTTAGAATCTCAAAAAAATTTTTTTTTCGTCGGCGGAGGGCCCATTTCTCGGCGGAGAAAGTTAGGGCCTTTTTTAAAAAATCACATCGTATTACATGGCGGAAACGCCGTTGCAACGGCTGAAATCAAGTTTACGTTACACCTCCGTCGATTTTACGGTATGCATTTTTTGTTTTCGATTTTACGCGCACCGCGGGGCGCGGCGGAGACTTCAGATTTCGGCGGACGTTGTTTTGGGCCTTCGGCTGTTGCAATTCATGTTGGAAAAGAGGTTGGGGTGATTTTTTGTTGTCATCCGATGCACAGATGGCAAAAATTTCGTGCTTTTTTTCCCCGGCGGAGGATTCGGCGGAGGCTTTATCAAAGGGTCAAAGCAGTCTTACGAGTCCGGAAAAAATCTCAGCTACAAGAATCCATCAGAGCAGCATTGTCTTTCAAAGATTTTTGATTTTTTTGGTCCGGCGGACAAATCGGCGGAGTTTTGTGTTTACCCTTTGATAAAGCCTCCGCCGACTCCTCCGCCGGGGATAAAAAGCACGAAATTTTTGCCATCTGTGCATCGGATGACAACAAAAAATCACCCAAACCTCCTTTTCCAACATGAATTGCAAAAACCAAAGGCCCAAAACAACGTCCGCCGAAATCTGAGGTCTCCGCCGCGCATCCGCGGAAGTGCGTAAAATCGAAAACCCAAAAAACGCATACCGTAAAATCGATGGAGGTATTACGTAAACTTGATTTCAGCCGTTGCAACGCCGTTTCCGCCACGTAATACGCTGTGATTTTTAAAAAAGGCCCTAATTTTGTCCGCTGAGAAATGGGCCCTCCGC